AAACTGTGCTTTATAAGTTTCCTTCGTCTCTTAATGCAGATAACACTTTTTTTCTTTTCCAACTTTGTTTATCTAAATTAAATATTATTTTAACTTTTCTCTCTGTCTTTGTAAATGTCTTGCAAAGTATTTAGAAGTCTTGGTACTGTAAATTTATAAAACGTAAAGTTTTTTTTAAATCTATTTTCCACTAAATCTGATTAACTGTAAACTTGAGAAGTTACCGGCTGTATTTAAAAAATTTAGAATTTTCTACTTTATGGCATATATGTAGTTATAATTAAGAACTAAAAAGTATTTTAAGGGAAATTTGATTTTTAAGATAATATGAAATTAAATAGAACGATATTCTTCCATTTTTAAGTTGTTGTATTCTCAGATGAACTAATCTTTTACTTCTTGAATACATTTTTCACAATTACAACTCAACGAAAAACTTCACGGCGAATACGAATACTCTGTAAATGCCGTGAACGCAGTGTTGCCAGTTTTCGGGTGCCAGTTTGATACAAGTACATAGTGGTGCCAGTTTGTGGTGCTATTATATCTGTATATAAATCTGTATATGCAAGGGCGCCCTCTGGTGAGTACACCTTCCAACTAGTGGAATATAAGCGGAAATATATATTGTAAAAGTGGCACCAATACGAAATTTCGTAGTTTTTCATTTCGATGTCAGATGACGCTAATGAGCCGACTCCCATTTAAAAACAAACTGGCACCCAAAGTCGGGTGCCACTTTGTGAAATCGGGTGCTACTATTGCAACGAACATACGTTTTGGGTGCTACAATTGCAAAAACATGTATATATATATATATATATATATATATATATATATATTATTTTGTTACAATCTGTCTACAAGTTAGTCCAAGCTTTCAAAATAGCTTGCTTAAATTTTTTAACTGTTGGATATTGCTTCCCACTTTTATACAATTGTCCAACGATATTTGTTTCATACATTTTCAACATAATTAAGATAGGGTCTTAGAGACTTGGATGTGTGCTTTATCTTGCTGAAAAATGACTTTAAATATGTATTTAAGTTAAATATTGTTACGTTGAACGGGTGATTAAAATCGGCGTGGGTAAATTCAATATTTATTTCGTACTAACTACAATTTACACGACTATTGCAGCGATTATGTGCAAAATAAATCCGGCGCAACTTCAATGGATTTTCGGACTCGACTCGAGTCAATAATAATAATTGTTCCTGAAGGTAGCCTATATTTAAACCCATACTTCTGCGATCAAGGTCTTTCTCGAATACCCATCACGCGTTCGGCTTCCAGGCTTTTCGAATGTCGCTGGGCCGCGTCAGCGACGATGAGTCACTCGTCATATCCGTACAAACTAGAAAGCTTTCGATGGTCCGTAGGCGTCGTACCGGGGTGGTGTATGGGTTTCTTTCGTAACAATATATTAATCATTATTAAATATTTCTTTTTGCGTTTTTCCCGTCCATTTCCACTATGCTTTCTTGTCACAAACTTGAAAATTGTTAACAGATCTCTTCTGATCACGAGGATAAAATTAAAGGGACTTTAAAGTTTCAGACTTCATGAAATGTTAAGGAGGTACGATGTGTGACTAATACCGAAAATGTATGTAAAAAAAATATATCGTCAAAATCATCGCAATAATATATTGCCCCTTCAATCCATGAACCTCATCTTGTCAGAACAGGAAGGCTTGAAACCTCAAATGAGCTTTAAGAAATAGTTTCTTTACGTTGGAAATTAAACCATCGACATCTTCATATTGATTGTGGATAACCTCAGCTACTAAACGTAAGGCGTGAGCCAAACATGTTACGTGAATTAAGTTAAAAATATTTCCAGATGTTTGCCACATTTAACCATTTAAGCAGCGCCGTCCGTTAGTAGCAGTTTTAATTTTTCGTATTTGATTCCCCTTGGATGTAATATGCCTGTACTATTATATTTGAATTAACATTATCATTTCAGAAATTGGGCCCTAATTGTGCAACAATGTTAATGCAACTTTGCAACCATTTTTACATTCACAGAAGCTTGCAAGTGTGACTGTTTATTCAAGTCAGAAATGAAAGACGACATTTCAACTTAACAAACAGTAAAATAGTTGAATGCACAATACGAAATAAATAACGCACAAGTAGATTGATATTTATGTATTATGTAACTACGAAAGAATTGGGGGGATAGAGCTCGAGTGTGTGCAAAACACGTCCGTCGCCTAACTCGACCGAACTCGGGGGTCAGGTCAATCGAGCACAAGGCGATGGCAAATGTTCGATAAAAAGTAATGGGGTTGCTGGCCCAGTTTGACCTTATTTGACCTGGGCTAGGAGCCCCACTATGTAACTACTCACGTTTCATGTTAATTCGAAATGAAGCTTTACTACCACTAAATGTCAAATCCATCGTGAAAAGACAACTGGACGGCAAACTATTTATCTCTGTCTTCCCTCTCATTATGTATTACTTTTTACTTGTTTTTTTTTTTATGAAACTCAATAACTCAATAAAGTTATACTATTGTTATTATTATCTCCTTGCAAAGTCGTCATTGTCGACACCCGAGACTAATGTAAAATGCTAAAATTCTGTGTTCTTTTATTTTGGTGAGTCAGTGTAAAAAACACTGGGACACTAATGAATCTTTTTCAGCAAAGATTCCGAAAATTGAGGATGGATTATTTTTTCATCCCAGAGGTAAATTTAAATGGGTTGAAAATAATCTAGTAATAATAATATTTAGGTGCAAAATAAGTACCTACTTACTGCTTTCTTGATAATCGAAAACTAATGACAATGACGCTCTTTGCTGATAGCGGTTGTATAATTTAACTGACTTGTAATTTTCTGTTTGTTTTTGGGTGTTATCTACATATGTCCTTGTGGTTAATGAAATCATGGGATTTATGCAGTTTATCATATTTTGTTCTGTATAATTTAAAACATTGGTAGATATGATATGAAATAAATTTTGAAATACTTGTAGTTTCTTTATATATAATTATAACAGTACCTAAATTGAATTTAAAAATTAAAAAATTGTTTAAATTTCTTTTGAAGATTCATTCAGAAATAAAAAATTCGAAGTCATAGTATAAGCTCTTTAATCAAATTGTGATTAAAAAATTTTCGGATTATGTACAATCAACCGTGGCAATATTTTTCATACCTTTCATAAAAAATAAGCATGTTAAAAATTCAGATTTTTAGAAGAAAAAGTGCATCAGTCGGATAAATATTACGTTATTTTCAGACACTACAACGGTTTTCACATTAGACGAAAAATCCGTCACCCCTGAAGTCTATTTTTGTTACGCAATGACTAAAGGGCCGGCCATTCACGTTTCAACGCCGCAGTACGATTGTATTTATAGCAGATATTTTACAAATAAATATTTTTCGAAACATTTCGAAGGTGAGTTTTCCAGTATAAAAACTGCCAATCAGCAGGAAAATTAGCAAGCCGTAGCTCAAAAAAAAAGATAAAGGTAGAATAGTATTCTTGAAGGGTCCTTTGGTGAATTGCTAACTTTATGTTTTCGGCGTTTCGTGGTTCTTAAAATATGAAAAAGTAGATTCTCCTTATTTCCGTTCAACTCCCCTTTCTTCTTTGTCATCCGTTGACGATTTTATTAGACTGAATAAAATACTGTAGTTTAATTAATCTATTTAATTAATCATCTCCACCAAACGTTAATGACGTCATTTGGAAATTTTAATTTACCCCCATAAAAATATAAAACTGAGAAAATCTAACATTGCTCAAGAATTTTTCACTGGAAAGACTTGTCATTTCAATCCAATCAGATCTACGGGCCCGAAAACACCAAGGAAACTATCAAATTTTAGCTAGAATTCAAATTTTGATCGAATTTTATGACTGATTTGACAATTCTGATCGACACGACTTGCAGTATACAGAATAGACTTAAATCCCCAAGAGGAGACAATTGGGCTAATTTTTCATATTCTGGGGTTTCTAGATTCAAGTAATTCGTTAAAAAACTTCACAAACGTCACTTTTCAAGGGTTTTCTTGTGGCTTCAAGCCTATCAGACAACCTACGGGCCCGAAAATACCAAGGAAACTATCAAATTTAAATAGAAAACGAAATAAATTTAATCCAATTTTTAATGGTACCTTGATAAAAATCAAATGTAGACGAGAAATTTTGCTACCATTTATTAAGCAATTGCTCAGTGGCGAGCTGTATTTTGCACACTTCCATTAGAACGAGATAATAGCAACCACGAAAATTTATATCATCAGTTTTTTGGAAACCAAAAAATAAACAGAAACACGCCACACATGATAACAACAAATGGAGCCAATACTTCGAAAATAGGTATGCCGTAAAAAATAAAAACCACAATAAAAGATATCGGCAGTCACAGTGTGGTGTGAATTGTGGTGAAAATTTTATTCGTGTTCTGTCAGCCACAACAGGAAATATAGTGGTTCTACTCATTACGTTCAACTGTTTCCAAAATGTAAATCCTAATAGAAAATATGGAGTTGAATATGAAAAATAAACTTATAGTTCCTTAAAATCTAACACATTATAGTCAATCCTGGTTCAAACAATTGATAAAATATGTGTTGATTTACTTTCTGCTCTAACAAATTTAGCGTAAAATAAACTGTGCAAGCAATGATACTTTACTGAGCCTTTTTTGAAATAAAATTTAGAAACTTTCCTGATTGTAATCATCGATGTCTTACTTATATGACTAAATAAAATGTTTAGAGTAATATTTGAAGTGACCTTCCCGTAAAGATCTTGAAACAATCCTGGCTTCTTCTGCAAAAGCACTATAGGCAGTAATTAATTTTCTACGTACATTTTTAGGAAAACATAAAAGTTACATTTTTGTAAAACTACTTTTAATATTTTGATTATCCAAGATAAGGGAACCCTTTACTTCGTTGAAGTAGTCAATGTAATAAATTTATCTTAAGTATGCTTTGATATGAACTTATCTGGTTTATTCATTAATGTAGCACCTGCTTAAGTCTAGATCTCAGTCATCACAAACTTAAAACTGAACGACATTATATATTTGCAAGGTAAGGTTATCTTGGCCTTAAAAATGATTTATTTTATTTTATTTTATTATGTGTGTTATCTTTGTAGGCAGCAAGACTCCATTATGTGGCTATCCAAAACTTTTCTTTTCTTAGTAGTTACTGTCTTCATTGCTGATGTTCCACCCACATTTAGCATAGACACCCATTTTATTATTAAGAACTTTATTCTAGCAGATGTTGTGGATACGGCAATAGAAATTGCTAATCCTGACGACTGGGAAGACGGACAGGGTGTTAAAGGCAATGCAATGGGTCTCATCATTCCGCTGTATAGATTTGTTGATTTAATAGAAAAACTTGCCTCTGATGCAGAAAGCAATTATTTTAATATGACACTGTATTACAACGATGCAAGTACTGATACGTTTAGTGCAAATTTAAGATCAGCAATTAATGAAGGAGCAGTTGATCTGCAACAGTCTGGTGACCACAGGATTGCCGCTACAGCGCTGTATAATGAAAACACACTTCTTATTACCATAAATGCTGAGTAATGTAAATACTTATTTGGAAATCCGCGTATACAATGCGCAATTTTACTTTTGTTTCAATAAAAAAATACTTGAGATAAAATTGCGTATTTTATCTCAAGTATTTTTATTTTTATAACAACAGGTAATTATTTTAAATTTTCCCCTATTCTCTCTTTCATTCATGGCCATATTTTGTACAGTTCTCCATTTCCTCGTTTTTGTATATGTAAATACTTAATAAGATATATTGATGTATGTTCGTATCAATGCTAATGTTTTCCTCTGTCTTCTTTTGTTATCATGCCTTGCTTATCACTTTTGAGATAGATACCTTATATCTGTTTTTTTTCCCAAATCTTTTTGAATATTTGATTCGTTTAATATCATATTTTGTACTACTATGTTACATTTTACACATTCCAATTAAATTACCTACATTTAGAGATTCCTTGTTTTCTCTTATATCAAATTTTACCAAACGCATGTTTTTATCAATTTGAATATTTGCTTCTTGAGGGTAAGCTGGACTTGGGTTTTAAGTGCATATTTTCTGAAAATTAATTAATTCAATTTTGTTACATACCTATTAATATTTTTATTATTTTATAAATTCTATTAATTCCTTCGCTTCCTAATTATTAATCATAATTTTATTAATGATGCTGACACCAGTACAACATCGCCTACAATAAATTTTTAGACTGGTGCAACGTCTAAAAATGTTGCAAACAAGTTCACAGAAGAGATTGTATATATTGACATATTTTGAAGAAAAGTCACACATCTGGAAATCTTCCACTCTTTAGGCTCATTTTTCAATGATAGTCATCTCTTCATATTAAACGAAACAGACATTGGAAAATACTACAAGGTGTTTTCGTTTTTAAAACGTAAATCTGAAAACTACAGACCAAAAAATCAAGCATTCTAATTATGCAATAGATCAAAACATTCTTAACTACAGCTCCAAATGCACAGTGGCTAATCATGAAAGTGTCTACAATTACAGGACTGTTTGGGGCATGTTGTTGAGAAGAACTTTGCGAGTTGAATGTAGACAATATTGAACATCTGGAAAATATGATGCTTATCAGTAGAACTTCTAGATACTAAAACAAAAATTATACACACCTTCACCATAACTGGAAAGTAGGTACATGGAATATTACAGGCAGTGGCGGCTGGTGGGTCAAAATTTCGGGTCGGCCAAATATTTTGAGTCTACACCTTGGTGTTATATATTTTCGTAATGTATGGCTGCTACTCATTAACCACTGACATTTTACGTGCCAGGATGTACAAAACATCTCAAATGTTTCGACCTGTTAAAATAATTTTTTATAGGAAATTGACAATGTCAGTTTGATTCCAAATACTATTAATCCTTAATTCTACTTGTTCTGCTTTATCATTAATTGAGAACCACCCAAAACATTATTTTTACTGAGTTCCCCGTCGACCGGCGGCTATACGGCTTGCCGACCCCGGACATCCACAATTAAATAATAATAATTAAATAATGACATGCAGTTAAAAAATATAAAAAAAAGTAATAATAAAAGTACCAACTGTTAACTATCTTCATTTACATTTATTTTTTTTAATGTATATGACAAATTGTCAAATAAATTAATTGAATAATTGAAAAATTAAAATGATTTAAAACTTTAAATTCGTTTCTGAAATATCTGAAAACGCTTAGATGCTAAAAATACAGAAAAAGCGCATTTATGTTGTAGCTAAGTTATGTACGAAAAATAAAATTTTAGATAATAATTTAATGTAATTTTTTTCGTTTATTATTCATACAGAGGAAAATGTATTAAATCGACAATTATTATTAAAAAAAAAATAGTATGCACTGAAGAACATCGAAGCCGTTATTGTTTTGTAATTTGGTTAGCTATCTTAAATATTAAGCGTTTTAAAAACTAAATTCGCGTTGCTGGGTACGGCGAAGGAGGATTTCGCCGGACCTGGCACAACATACGTTCCGCCAGGTCTTTGTCTACTACAGTGTGCTAGACAAAGAGAACGATGAAACCGTAAGCTGCTACGAAGTCGAAACATCGAGCATAATGCATTCCTGGATACGGCGTGCCGAAATCTCGCCGGCAAAGCGTGTTTATCAGCATTTAAAATTAGCAACAAATGCTTTATTTTGTACCTACAATATAATAAAATATATTTTTAATATATATGATCTATCCTAACGTACATTCAAACTTTATTTCTTTTTTTATTTTCTAATTTCAACGCTTACTAAGTATTTTAAAATGACTGGTACGGCGTGGCCGACCCTGCCGCCCCTGACCAGCCGCCCCTGATTACAGGCGTGTGTTTTATTATAATTTATAATGCAGACTATTGTGTATTATTGACATTTCCGCATCAGCTGTCTCCCATTAAATTTTAGGTTTCTTATACAATGTTTACAAAAAGTCAAGACTATTTTGGTGACTTTTTCAATTGAACACCCGATATTTTATATCGTTCTCAAATTTGTTTGTAACTTAAATCGCTTTCTTTTCTGCCAATGAACTCGTCATAATCAACATTCCTATTCTATTCTACACGCGAGTGACATGAATTTAATGATGAAATGCGTTTATTCCATTTGTTCAGTTTAAATAAACTTGATAAATTAACACATCATTCTGTCCAAAATTTGAAAATGATAACAAATAGAGTGTGCATTTACATTCAGTTTTGTTAAGTTAGTATTATTAAAAGTGGAAGGTCGATGGAACTTGCACAGCTGAAGGCTACAAAAGAGACGGAGGAAGTAATTGGCGGATAATTTTTCATGATGTGGGAAATTCTGAATGTACTGAAACTAAAATAATCTTGTATGATACAGGTGATCATGTAAAAACCTACATAAATTGGCGTCTAGAAATAGTTGACAATCCTTATTAGCAGTTAATTTATTTTTTAACTTTGAGCGGCGCGTAGTTTCCTATGAAGTCACTCCAAATTGTGGTATTTATGAGTATTTAATTTTTATTTCTGTGTTGTGAAATTGTTTTAGTTTAACGAGTTTATAATATATGATAATAATATATGCGGGAATCTTAGGGAAAATACGCAATGACTAAAAAGAATATTTATGGTGAAATTTTTAGCGCGTACTATACTTACCGATGAGAATTATTTTGATATGTAATCAGAGTTGATGGTAACCTTGTGACACTTTCATAATATAATTAGAAAAAAAAACTAAAACAAAATTGGAAATTCAAATACATTTAAAATGCAATCAATTGTAAAAATACAAGAAATGTATATTAATATTTAATAACTATCTAGGTGTTTTAACACGCTCCTTATCTACTTGTCTAACTGTTTATTTGAAGATTAATTAATATAATGTGATTTTTTTAAACTTAGTTGATCAACATTCTTCAGCCATGGATAAGAGTCTGCTTAACTTTATTTAATTGTTGCGATTAGTGTTCATTCTTTCTTCATAGAGAAGAATACAAAAGTGGAAAAGCAAGTTGAACTCTCGAAAAGCGAGTTGAACTGTTGACGTGGTCATATTTTATGAACAGGTTGAAAAGTTCTGTTAAAAAAAAAATTAAATAAATTTTTATCAGGAGGAAAAATCAGCTCAGATGGCTGTTGACACTCCCTGTATGGAATACTCTCAAGAACTGGTTTATTTGGGTGATTTATGTTATAAATGTCTATAAAAAATATTAAAAATTAGTTTCTCTGTGCTGTGGAGAATTTGACCACTTTAATGACAGAAAATTAAAATTACCCGTAATAATGATTAAATGTGGAAACTCAAAATATAATTCTATATATAATATGGAATGATTTTCATAATATCTGCTTTTGATAATGAGTGCTTAATCTGGAGAAGGACATATTCAACTAAAGGGTTCTAAAAATACATTTGTTCAGTTGAAAAATCAACAAAAAAAATTAAAATAATACATGTACCACTTCTTTTATTCAAACGATTCATTCTAAATAAAGTATAAGTGAGTTCGCTAGTTTTTAGTTTTAGATCATTTATTAATAAAAACAAGTTATTTAGAGTGAACTTCGCTATTGAAACACAATCAATCAAGTTCGGATTCTCAAATAAGTTATTAAAACGCGAAACGGGTGTCCTATATTTTCGCACTCTAATAAAAATCGACACAAATGAGAGACGACCGACAGACGGAAACGGAAGACCATATTTTTCATACTTTCGGGGTCATGAAACGGCGAGAAAACATGAAAGTAGTCATTCGCCTTAATACAATACTTCATTAGCTTAAGCTCGGGAAATAGAAATAGTACCTTGTGCCCGGAATTTTAAAAAATAAGATAACCATTTCTTAATTTAATGAATAAAATTAATTCAGTCCTGTGTTATTTTGTCAAACATCCTACAGAAATGTAAATGGTAGTGATTGACATTTAACACAGCAAACAGTCTCTGTGTTACTCTCTTCTACTTGATGGTTCTCACAACAACTAAGTATCAGACAGTCTATTGTTGCAAAATTACACGTTTAATATCATATATAACATTTGTGTTAATCCTGCATACAATACGTGATAGTCGTAAGAATAAACTGTTTTAGAAGTATAATCATATCTATGCTCTATTATACGAGAACACTTGCTACTCTCACTACACTCGAGGGAGGTAGTGAGTGAAAAACATGAGTGAGTAGACGACGAGCTATCACCACTATACCAGCAAATTGTTAGCAAGAAACCGCCGGTCACTGCAAGTATATAGAATACACTGTAAAAAGCACGCAGAACTTATTGTGCTTCAGAGACGAGGAAAGTTCTGTTTAAATAACATTAGAGCAAGTTTTACAATTGCGGGTGTTGTAGTGACTCGAACAAAAAAAATGCCTTCAACTGTAATAAAATGACACAATAGTTATTACTGGAGCTAAAATTGAGTTGGGTATCTGTTCTGCCTGGAGATAGGTTTTCGGTTTGCATGCATATGCCTTTCCCATCACTTTCATGTTTTAGCGAACAATTCTAAATTTCTGTAATGTTCTTTCTGTCACATAAATCCGTATATAGACAGTTATTTGTTTTCACTAAGAATTTCATTATTAATGTAATAACATGGGGTCAAGGTTAAGTGCTCATTATAGAAAATGAGTGTATTTT